ATTTGACCTTCTGCATCACAATGCTAAGGGGGAATATATTACATTTAGAGTGGCTGAGAGAGGGGGTTATGGGAAATCATGTGTAGAATTCAATCATGTCGCCAATACATATTTGAACTCCAAAATGTTTTGCTCATCCTTCTAAAATATTAACACTCTTGGGTTTTTTTTCATGCAGAGTTTGGCTTTTGGCAGAGAACTGCTGGAGTTTATTCTTATCATTTTTTAAACTACAAAGTAATGAAACAAGTCAGTCTGGAGCACCAGCTGCCTGGCACAAAAGTCAGTAATAATAGTCATTTAAAAACCAGCACAGAGCAAAATGTTTGGTAGAAGCCACGAAACAAGAAAATGTTATTCGCGTTTTGATAGAATCATTGATGAGATGAATTTTGGAATCCAGATAATCAAATATATGGTCCAATTGTAAAAAAATAAATCCTAACTCTACTTAGGGCATATTTGAACAAAATGCTACATTACAGATAGAAAAGAATATTTATAGCTCAGGGTTGAATTGTGGAGTCCTTGGTGCTCTTTGATCTTGGCTGTTTTCTTGCACACATTTTATTACCAAACTAGGTAACATTATCAGTACTGGAACAGGCTGGCAAATCCACCTCCTGCTTGTTCCTTCTAAGTAGTATAGTAACTTCCCTGTTTAACTATTCAAAAATGAACAGTAACATTTTAAATTGGAGCACCAATTTAAAATACCCTTGCTGATAGATTAAAACCATCAGGGATTCAATTTCCAAATAGGGAAATGCTATTTCCTATGCTCATATTAAGCAATGAAATTAGATTCCACCTGGGGTACACAATTCCACTGGCAAGAACAAAGGAACAATCTGATCATAATGTGGCACATTCTAGTGGGGATTAAAATGTACATACACCGTGATGGTGGTGGAATTACAGTCACAAGAAACAAAAACGCTTTCTCTAAATCTAAACCTCTCTAAATGTCTCCTTAAGGCTTTTTCAAATTTGAGAGTAAAGGCAACTGAAGGTTCTGAAAATGGATATATGGATGAGCCCTGGGATCCTGGCTTACATCTGTTTTGTTCTTAAATTTAATTAGTAATTAGAATTTGTCCAGAGCTGTGAATATTTAGAAATATTGTTTCTGCCGGATGGTGTAGATCACAGGTCTTCAGACTTGGCCCTTTTATGACTTGTGGACTTCAACTCCCAGAATTCCTCAGCCAGGCACGCTGGCTGAGGAATTCTGAGAGTTGAAGTCCACAAGTCATAAAAGGGCCAAGTTTGAAGACCCCTGGTGTAGATAATCCCATCTCTCTCTATTTTCATTTGTTTAGGACTAAAGCCCATTATAGTTAATTTCAAGTTGAGTAAACTGAGATAACCTCTGCCATTCTTAGTATCTAACTGACAGTTTGTTCCTAACATTCACCTTCAAAGATGAGTTCTTATTGGTTGGTTATATATATTTCCTACTTTAATTCTTCTGTTCTGTTACCAAAATTTGCCCAAAATAATAATGGTAAATTGATAGGCACACTCAAATCTCAGTTTTCTACTAACGCTGATCCCTTCTGAAGCCAGCTCACTTGATTACAGGAGCCACTGCTGTGCTGGAAGAAAATAAGAGGGATAGCGCTGATCCACCATCTAAATTTATTAGTAGACTTTGAACATCCAATGTTTACTTAATAGTGAAACCAGAAAAGCAAATGACAAAGTGGAATGCTAGCACATCGCTCTCCTTGGTCTTTTCCCCACTGAGAGATTGATCTGCATGACCAAGGAAATGTTGTCATGGAAATATCAAGCATGGATGTACAGTACATTTCATTAGTTTAGCAGCAAACCTTAGGGGAGAAAATTAACAACATCAGTCTTCTATTTCTAACATTTAGTTTGACAATGTGAACTTTACCATAATAAAGCAACCAACATACTGAGTTAATATCCACCCATACATAACTGATATAGATGGATATAGTTATTAGGTTTTATTTCCCACGGATACCTGTGGTATTTGTTCACACAGTCAGTTGTCAGTAAAAAACACCTCATAGCAGAATGGTCATGATATTGTATTAGGCCAGAAATTCGAAACACACAAGGCAGAGAGAACAATCAATAACGAAAGCAGTAGATTCAAAGTCCCTAAGGGTCTGCAGATGCTTCACTTACAAGACTGGCTTTGAGACAAACTAGAATCTCTCCCATCAGAAAATTTCATGCTTTGCAGTACCAGCTGGGAATCTAAGATAAAACACTTGAGAGCATCTTCAACTGCAGATGGTTGATTGAGCCTTGGAGGAGTGTATAGAGCAGAAGATTTCAAACATCCCTATGGCCTCAATTGGAACAAAAACTCAATTGGAACAAAAACTCAATTGGAACAAAAACTAGTGATCTGTCCAGGGTCCTGAAAGCTCGTTCTCGTTCAATGCTTTTTTCTTAACTACTTGAATCTTCACAGGGAATGTTTTGTGTGACTTCTCTGCATTGGCAATTGGAAATTTGGATTGAAAACTGCTTGCAGATTATATCATTTCTTTGTTCGTTTATTATATATATATATATATTAAACAACAATGCTTTGATTCTTGCTCTGCTTTTCTGAGGTACTATCATAGTGGGTTCAGATTCGAAGTCAGAGGTGGGGGATGACAATGATCAGGCAGTGCCAACTTCAGAAGTGCTGATGGAGCAACTAGCTCCAGTGCCACTATTTGGACTGTTGCATGAGCCAGCAAAGGAGGCAGGGCAAAACGGCAGACACAGCTGCCATCTGAAGATAAGGGCATGGAATTACTGCCCCCGTCCAATGCAAGAGTTTGGTGGGCTGTGAAGAGAGTAGAGCAAAGAGGGTCTTGCAAGACCACTCCTGCAGAAGGGGTCTCACCTCACTAAATGAACTACACCAGGGCTGCAAACACAAGCTTTCCATTGACTGCCATTCTGTCTGCCTTGACTTGTAATTGCATAAATACACCCTGACTTTCAACCTGAACTGGCTGACAAATTTGCTACAAAATTTGACCCTCAGATTCCACCTGATTACTTGTCTCTTTGATTTGGAACTCTTGTAAGTCAAACTTGCTGAACGTTGGGAAGGACCTTGTCTATATTTGCAAATGATGTCTTAGCAAGCCTCGTTTAGTAAAGAGAACAAAGCCACCCCTTTGTTTATTTGTGTGATTGGTCTGGGACAGAACGGAGACAACAGGAACTCTGTCTTTATAACAGCAGGCAAAATTATCCTATTTTAGTCACAAGAGAGGAAATGGAAGTTTCTACCTTCCTGAGCATCTGTGTTTATTTTTACTTCTGCCAAACTTGGAGTTTGATAGAGTCTACCCATAAACTTGATGTGCCTTGATGGTTTTATTTTATCTTATTTTATGATTTTATTTCATTTTTTGCTATGTAATCTCTGAGACCTTAGATTCCAACGATGAAATGACAACAGCACTCTTAATGTGGCAAGTCAGGAAAAACCTCAGACTGATAATTGAAAAATAAATGTATATCTTAGGGAGGAAAGGAAAGGACAAGGGTAATTATAAGGTTTAATGTGTTTTTTTAATTTCCCCACCAGATGACAGTGAGTAGGTTTGATGAATGAGCTAGACGATAGTCTTGAACAGACTGTATTTATCTACTTTCTCAAGCTAATGTCAGAGTGATAGGAGAGACTGCTGCCAAATGGTATGAAGTGTTACCAAACAAATGGAAGAATGTTATTTTGTAAGATAGCATAACACCACCATAACATCTATGATTCTTTAGGTTTCACTCCATTTCTGATTTCCCAACCTTGTTTTGCCCTATGCCTACTTTTCTTATGTTTTTAAAACCTGCACTAAAACTCATACATTTTCTTGAAAGCTTATTCCAATAGATCTTATTTTAATATGTCTTTCATATTATGGCAGCGGGCCTGGGGGCCCCAGGGGAGGGGGACACTCAAGAGGTGGCTCTCTTATTATTAACATCCATCTGTCTATTAGTCCCTTTTTTGTTTCTGCTTTTATAATTTCTCATTTTTTAAATATTTAAGTAATGGTTTTAACTAATGATTGTCTTATTCGTTTACTGATTTTACTGTATGGAGCCCAGAGTCACTTTCTGTGAGATGGTCAAGGATATAAATTTGATTAATAAATATTCTCATTATGGGACACAACAAAGCACGACATGTTTAGATGTCCTTTCTCAAGTCTTTAACTCCCCCTCAAGATACTAACCTTTTTCTACCTAAGTCCTCAGTTCTTTCTTCAGTCCACTTTTTTTTCTTTTTCTTTTTGACCCATTCAGTCTTTCTTTTCTCTGTAAAGTATTGCCCTTGGCTGGGGCTCTTTTTCTACCTGTTTTCCCCCATGTCTGTCTGATGTTCTCCAGGTGTGCTAGACCAATGTTTCTTAACCTGGGCAAATTTCATATATTTGTACTAAGTCCAAGAATTCTCTATTCATCCTGGTCATTGCTGAGTGATCTGGGAATTGAAGTCAATACTTATGGAAGTTGTTCAGGTTGGAAAACTCTATGCCACATAAAGCATCCCACCTTTAACTAGCACAGCTGGCTGAAACATTTAGTACTTCTTGTCCAACACTCTGTGGGAAAGCTGCCATGTCTACAAGCATTGCCTATAAGCTTTTTGAGACAATAAGCTAGAAAATCCATAGTAAGATACAACTGACAGCAAAGTACATGTGACCGAAAAGCATTCAAGTTTTTTTTTTAAATAGGAAATGCCAATGTTTAAACAAGCTACATTATGTATGCTAATAATTAAGTCACTAGAACATAAAACCAGGAAATGGGATCCTTGCTTTTTTTCATCTCTATGCAATGAGTTACATTTTAAAAATACAAACTTATAAAACCCCAGTGCTCCCAGTGTTGATATTTGAAGTGTGCAGATGGAATGTCTATGACATATTTTAACAATGCATTGTTTAAAAAACAAACCAAAAGAAATATATCAGGAAAGGCAGGGGGAAAAAATAAGACCTTACCTCTTCCAGTGCCCACAGTGAATCAATCACTGGTTTGATCTTCTTCTCGTTGTAAAGCTTTATGAGATTGTCCATTACTTTAGTGACAAGGCCACTTCGACCCTGTTTGAAAAGCAGGTTCAACAGAGAAAATCCAGCCATGACTTTGTTTTCTTCGTAGAGTTTGATAGGATTTACTTTCTCCACTTGCCACCACTAAGGGCACACAAATTGTCTCAAGATTAGAACCAAGGTATTCCATGTGCATATTATACTGGAAACGCATGATGCACCTCATAATCACTCTCACTCACTCACTCACACAGGCACTCAATGTACAGGAGAGAGGAGGCCAGAGAAGCTGAAGTATGAACTTCAATGCTTCAGCATACTGGAGGATCTAAAACAACAATAACCATGAAACAAAGGTAAATCCAGGTGAACCACTAACATACAGGTACTTCAGTCTCAGCTTTTTGCTCCTATGACCTACTAGCTTGCTCTCTCAACTTTCACATAAAAAAGGAGAAACTCTTCCTTCTGAAATCTAGGTTAGGAGAAAACTGGATGGGTTCCCACATTGCAATAAGCCAGAGTTAAATATAATGAACAAGACACCATTGGCTTGGTTGATATATCACACTAGACCACACATAACAGTTTAAAAACCACAATGGCTGAGTCTGCAATGACACACTAAGCCAAAGTGAAAAACTAGAATGGATTAGCCAGTGTGAACCTAGTAAGGATGTTCAGAGACCATTCATTCATCCATCCATCCATCCATCCATCCATCCATCCATCCATCCATCCATCCAATCATTTTGTGTCAATGTACTTTGATTCACTTTTTTTATTTTTTTAGCCAATGAAAGCGAAGCCATTGCAGGATGAACATTTTTGGCTTTACTTTAGCCCACCAACCCTTTCGAAGCTCCCAGAATGGATGGTCAAATTGTTCAAGATTTTCTTTTTACATTTTTGGAATTGGTTGTGAGATTAAAAGCAAATTGTTGAAATTTAAGACGCCCTTTCACACCTTAATGCTTTCCCGCCCCTGCAGAGCTTGATTTTTCTCCACTTTTGAAATGCAGCTCCCACTGTGCCACAAAAGGTAGAAGAGGTAGCAATTGTACACCTCTGCATTAATACACTTTTTGAATTCAGCCATGATGCCCAGCCATTAAAAAAAGGTTGTGGCTCACTGAGATTTGTGAATTAAGCACATATGGTTATTCGACAAATCACTATTAAAATACACAAGGGTTCATTCTGACGTACAAACCAAATCAGAGTTTGCTGTGTTAATTTGGATTTGGGATCTGATCACCTATTCAGATCTGTGAACCAATTCGGTGCATCGGAGGTGATGGGCTCGTGACTCAACCCTTGGACTGTTCTAAATTATCTTGTCTCAAAATTCCACCTATATCTAATCTGGGTTCCATAACAGTGGATTTCAACAACCAACCAGTAGCTTTTTGATTCATATCTAGCTGGAAATGGACTTAAGCAACTCCCTCCTTGCCATTCCTTTATGGGTACAAATAGGAAACTAATAAACTTAATGGAACATTCCTACCTCCGCTGTGGATAATGCCTAGTTTGGATCTGAATCTACAAAAGATGAGTCATGCTGTTAAAGGGAGAGAGGGGAGGAAACAGCAAGGAAAAGAAGAGAGAGACTTGGGAACCCGGCACATACAAATAAGCTCTAACAAAACCAGAAAGACTTTATACTTACTGATTTTGCAAAGCTGAAGAAACTTTTGGTTTCCCCAGTAACCATGTTTGATGAGCCTAGAAAACAGTGACAAGAATGAAGAGAGGGGGACAGCAAAAGAAGAAAACGTGAGCACAGAAGTTGATTTATAGGTCACAAGGATAAAGCAGGAGAATATTGATATCCTGTGTCAAAATCGTAAAACAACGTCTCCGTTCTCCAAAAAGGTCTCATTGAAAAAGGCTGTCTACTTGTTGGGGTTTAATTCTACTCACATGTTGTGCTCTTAATGATGCCACCAGAAGGAGAAAAGTCCAACTGTCTTTCACCAAATAACCTTCTGCTAGTCTCAGGGCCATAGAACGAACACCCAACTCATGTGCTCCTTACCTAGTGGCAGTGTTGGAGCTTTTAGCATTAATGGTGCAGGTCTTTTGGCAAAGAGTGTGCATGATTTTCATCCTCTTTTGGCTGAGTCATGTTACTGGCAAGGTGATATCTCAAGGACATAGGAGCCCTGGAAATTTCTGTTTCCCTAGACCAGTGGTTCTCAACCTTTTTAATGCCGCGACCTCCAACCGGTCGTAAGTCGAGGACTAAACCGGTCGTAAGTCGAGGACTAAACCGGTCATAAGTCAAGGACTAAACTGGTCATAAGTCGAGGACTAAACCGGTCGTAATTCGAGGACTAAACCAGTCGTAAGTCGAGGACTACCCAACCGGTCGTAAGTCGAGGACTTTCCCTGCCCGGGAGCGCCGCACATGCGTGGTTCTGCCCCCTGCGCCGGCCAAGGCGTAGCTGGCAAGCGGCAGAGACGGAGCAGGCCGACCACCAGCTGGCCCAGCTCAAGGGAGGTAAGGCACCCGCTGGAAAAGGGGGAAAAAAATGGCGGACAGCCTTGCTTGGCGACCCCTGTGAAATGGTCGATCGACCCCAAATGGGGTCGTGACCCATAGGTTGAGAACCCCTGCCCTAGACTCCCATGTCCCTGGGATGTCCTTCTGCACTATTCTAGGTACAACACAATGAAGGAAAATTAGGTAGAGTCTAATAGATCTTATGATATCTGCTCTGTCCCTCACAAGTTTCAGAGAATGCTTAGAAAGAAGCATCTGATGAGCAAAGAAGACCTTTTCATGATGAGTTTAATTACGCTTGATGTAAATTTGTAATGTTTTGGTTTTAATGAGAAATTGGAGTAAGTTTGACATGTCTGAATTATAAGAGAATGAAATGAGATCCTTGGAGAGAAAGAGGGAAAATTGTCCAAAAACAGATTTAAAATTTTGATGCCCTTGATAGAATATCACCCAAGGTTCTGTGAGTTCCATGCTATCAATCAACATGCTTAACAGTTAACATTTATTTTCAATTTAAAACATAATTTATGCTTCTTCAAGAGCAGGAGAAAACCTCAACACAAAGAAGGACTTCAAGTATGGTCATATGAAAACAGACAGCTTGGATGGCCAATGTAGATAAATTGGTCCTAGGTGTCTTTCATACCCCTTCTCTTCTATTTCTGTCATCTTTTTATTTCTCCTCCTCCAGGTCAGGTTTTTCTCAGTTGATATTTGAAACGGTAACAGAATTTTCCATGCAACCACTCATTAGAAATCAACGAGAACAGCTCCAGTGGAATGGTGATTCTTGAAAAGTTCAGGATTTATTTAGCTTTTGAATTTTACTCACCATATAAAATGTAAGTCCCAAGTGGTTTGAGTAGACTGAGGCCTTTACCAGTATTTTCACCGCAAAGGCAATCCAGGACAATGTCTACACCATCTGCAGAGATCCTACAAAGCACAGAAACACTGTGAAGATACTTGCTACCCAATGCCATCATAACTTTGAACAGTCAGTAGATAGGACAGTTGTTACATGAGGACTACCTGTGTATAAGATGCTAGGCTGGCCCCGGGGAGATGAAGACACAATTCCACAAATACTGAATCTACAAGATCTCCTTAGAATTCCCATCATGTTATCTGAGCATTTCTCTCCCTAGACATTCCACTTTAGCCACTGTTTGAGTTGATCCTTTCTCTTCATGTATTGGTCTACGGTCTACCCATCACCCAAATTTATTCTGTTTTTAAGAGGCGAGTAGAACTATGCTACTCCTCCGTTCTTTAATTAAATGTGTAGAAGGCTGTCAGCCCAACAGAGTAAGAAACTATTATCACAGAAGTCAGGGCTTCTTACATTAGAACAGCTATAACAACAGTATGTTGAGAGTCTGTGCCCCTCCCCATCTTTATGTCAACTAGGAAAGGGCCAGATCTATACATGAAGCTCCAATTAAACTGATTTTTTGCTAAATAGCTTATACACAGGAATCTTCTCAACTAACGGTCATGGACTTAAGTTGGACTTAATCTACTTGTGGTTACGTAGGGATTCTAGGCTGATCTTTCTTTTAACTCTTCCCCCAGACTCTGCCACTCCTTCTCTTCCAAGAAGCTTATCTGAGACATTTTCCCAAATTACTTCCTTGAAATGGATTCAAATCCTGCTTATCTGCTCCTTGCCTTGATAGTGGCTCTTCCTCCTGTCCTTCAAGGCCATTCCCAATGCCCTCTACAAGGTCTTTGTAGCAGATGAGAAAGTTAATGCATAAAGGTCAACTATTAAAATATTTGGTTTGGAGTAATCCATGGCTTTCTGCGGAGATGAGAACAGCAGCCCAACAGGTAGAATGATTTGGCCAACTTTGCTGATATTGAAAGCATGTGCAGTGTCACATCTACTTAGTGCTTGAATGGGAGATCTTAAAATCAAAGAGTTGTAGCTAGACTGGGAGGTTTTTTTTAAGGGTTAGAAGAAAACAAAGACAGCCTACTTCTTTACTGTCGCCATGAAAACTCAAAGGTGTATCCATGAAGTCACCAGGAGCTGTCTTAAATTCAAAGGTGAAGTTGTCTATCTATACTATTGCTGATACTGCCCCCTTGTGCACAGGGATATTTTCTTTGCCCTCATGATAAATAATTCTTTCCTCTACTTTTATCGGGCAATAGATTGGTAAGAACCTACAAGTCAGAGTTGTTCAACTTTTTTATCTTGCAACCAATTAAAATGAAAGACCATCTACAGTATTTAGAAAATAGAGAACATACTTCTCTATATAGAGGTGAAGAAAAAACAAAACGCTGCTTTTGATACTCTCCTTTTACTCATTCTGATCTTTCTTCCCCCCCCCTGAGTTTTCTCTTCCCTGCCCTAAGCTAAAGAAGGAACAGTTTCTATAAGAAGTCTCAACATCTTTGTAGACATTCTTAAAGATTAAGCTAAGAGCCCCATAAAATTAGGCTGTAGCCAACACATGTTTTGGATGATCCATTTGCATGGAAGAGAATGCCAGGTAGAAAGCTTTCCACAAGAGAGCAAATGCACATTATTATTTCAAGTTTCATTGTGAGCTTCCTTAGAGCCACTTACGCACAGAAAGATCAGAGATAAATGTGCAATGTGAAGCCAACTTCAGTGCATATCCTCAAAAAGCAAATTCCATGTTATAGATCAGTGGTGGCGAGTCTTTTAGAGACCGAGTGCCCAAACTGCAACCCAAAACCCACTTATCCATTGCCAGGTGCCGGGTGGGCGTGGCCACTGAGTGGGTGTGGCTCGTGCTCGCTCTTTCGCTGTCTGCAGCAAATGCTGCTTCCGCCGAAAGTTGCTCCTTTTATAGTCTCTTGCCTATTCCCAGACTGCGCATGCGTGGAGAGCTGCGCATGCGTGGAGAGGAGGAGGGAGCAGCTCGGCTCAGCAATGGCTCGCGTGCCACCAGAGACGGCTCCGCGTGCCGCCTGTGGCACGCGTGCCATAGGTTCGCCACCACGGTTATAGATTTAAGTCTACAACTTTCAGCCTGCCAGAACTCTTGGGCTAAAATCTTTTGCAATTAGTCCCAATGGATGCAGCTGATGAACAATGAAATCCAAAGAATCTGGGTGGCACCAGGTTGCCAGGTTTCTGCCTTAAATTAACCAAATCTGTGAAAAACTGGCTTCAACCATTCTCTAAAGTTACATAGGATGTATGCGTCACTCTCTATAGCCGTTGTTAAAAGATTGTTTCAATAGCTCACTTCAATTAAATAATTATGAAAATCACTGGTGCGCTCATTATGGATAATTGTACTCTATGGAGCCTAAAGGGCATAAGGTGCATCAAATAACTTCCATCTCCCAAGACCAGCTTTTATCTCATGACAATTATTGTCTGAAATTGGTTAATAGCAGTTATGAGGATATAGGTTAAACTTACTGACCTAGATTATGAATGGGTTTTTTTTTTCTAGAAACAGGAAGAGCAGTGGGCATCTGATGACAGAGAAAGTGATGGAATTATATTACATGCAAATAGTTCGCTAGGATTAGGATGTTATCTGGCCTTATTAAGCTATAGCAAATTGTTTATAAAGCTCATTTTAATTCTGCATTTCCCCCAAAAAGTAACCTGTATTTTTAAAACAATGGCGGAATTGCCGGTTTCAGCCTCATCGGCGAAACCAAATTTTGAAATGGCAGAAAGTATCCCTGTAAAAAGAAAGTTATGGATCAAGAGGCACAGGTAAAACAGACAGAAGACTAAGTAATTTGTCCTATTTTCCATACTGAGTAAAGAAGATGGATGGGTCTCTTAGGGTGCTAAACCCTATCATCTGGATGCTTCTAAAGAGAAGGAATTATTTTGCAACCCTGTGATCTGTACAGTGGGGTCTCTCTGTTGAGAACAATTTGCAGATTAGCTCACGTTATTGTGACCCCCTTTGCTATGCCATCAAACATCTCACAAATCCTTCTATTTCCAATTTCAGGCTCTACAAACAAAACAGTAACAATCACAAAAAGCAGAAGTATCAGCAAGCTTGGAGAAGATGGAAATCCATCTTTCAGAAAGATAATGGGGAGATTGCTGAAGGCAAAAAAAACCCTTAAAGAGTTCACTGAAAACTGAGCACACTCGGTTCTTGCAAACCATGGTCTGTTTGCTCAAGAAAACCAGAATGTCAATGCACAGATTCTGTAAGTATGCCACCCAGTGTGCTAATAATCACTGAGATTGTTACTTTGTGATCTTCTCTTCTCCAATTCTTTCTCTTCTACTGCCTCCTGCTATTGCCACATCAATTATCCACCCTTCCTTCTTCTTATATCTGGTGTGTTACGAGCCAAGACTATCATCATCATTATTACTATTTTTGCCTGTGCCCTGAGCAATTGCTGAGGAGTGCTATCTAATAGCATTTCTTTTGATCACTTTTCTTTTACAAAAGCCTGCTGACTAACCTACTCTTAAAAAAAAAAAAGATGAAAGCAAAGAAAAGGAGGGAGGGGGGGTCAAAACCTTTTCTTTTGCATCTATAACTATACATAATAATGTATTTGCTCTTCAAGAGAACAAATGAGGCTCTAATAAGAAAATAAGTGCTACTCAGATCCTGCTGCTGGATTCCAGTTTCTACCCACTTACCCGGAGAGGCAGAATAACTTTATAAGGAACAAAGGCAGGAAAATGTCCATATTTTAGGGTTAGGCAGATTCTATTGCACCACTGTTTGTTAAACAAGCTAGAACTCTGATTAAGTACACACAGTGGACTAAGACTAAGACTAACCAGCAATGTCTGGGGGATGGGAAGAAGAACGACAAAATGAGGCATACAATGCAACCTCAGCCTTTTTTCTCCAAGCGTGGTTGTATATTTGCGCCAAGGCCTTGCAGTGAAACACTGATGAAAGGAGAAAGCTTCCTGCAGATGTCACTAGCCATAACCATGTTCCTGTACAAAACACGGTGCCCGCGTTTGACACACTATATTAGAGCAAAACAAGCATGCTATGCTTACCTAACTACAGCTATGCATTACTTAGGAGAAAGTAGGCTTCTGTTCAAACATGTGTTTCATAGCTATCTGAGAGTGACCCACAGAACAACGCAGACAGATGTTATTGGGATGCCAATCCAAGCCAGCCAATGAAACAAAAATTAAGGTGGACCATGCCCAAGGAAAACCTAAGTTCAAGTCTCTGGTTGAGTAGGGACTTTGACCCACTCAAAGTCTCAGCCCAACTTTCCTCATAAGTTTGCTGCAGGAAAAAAAATGGAGAAGGATTGGTCTATGCAATTCTGGAGAGAAAAACATCTATTAAAAAACAAATGCATAAAAATAGATGAAGGGAGAACTTCCCCCCCCCCACATCTGGATTCCCTGAATACTATCTCTGTACATGTAGAAGAAAGATTGTGAGAATTTTGCACAAGGAAATAATCACATTAACAGAATAATGACAGAATAACAGAACTGAAAGGGACCTTGGAGGACTTCTAGTCCAACCCCCTGCTCAGGCAGGAAACCCTATTACCATTCCAGACAAATGGTTGTCCAGTCTCTTCTTAAAACCTTCCAATGTTGGACCATCCACAACTTCTGGAGGCAGAATTTGAATGATTAATTGTTCTAACTGTCAGGAAATGTCTCCTTAGTTCTATCTTCAGTATTTTCATGTGATAAGCCTATTGGAGACCTCCTAACATTTCATTTCCCATTGATAGCTGGTCACATCATCATTATCTAGAAATACAATCTAGGAGTTGCCAAAAAAAAAAGAAGATTGTGAGACTCTTCCATCTTTTACTCTAAGAGACCATTTTCAATAGAACAATAAAATTATTTCCCAAAATTAACTTACTTGTCACCTCCCATTAGCTTCTTACTGTTCTCATTAACAATTTCCCCTATCAAGTAAAATGCAAACTCGCTCACTTACTTTTTAACTTCTTGGACATAATCCATATTTCGGTCAAACAGGTAGGTGACAGACTCTTTGATGGCCTCATGCTTGAAGGAAGAAGCCGTTCCAAAGACAGTAACATTGGGGACTGTTGAGCAGAGTTGAGCAATAGCTTGTCCCTACAAATACATTTTGTATATTAGTTGCATGGATAGATCAAATGTGTTTATCGTTCATCACCGATCCCCTGTAATCGGCTCTCTGCCAACAATTGACCTGAAAATATGTTATTTATTTACCTACCCCTCAAAAGCAATGCTACCTTATGCAATGTTATACTGTATGTCACTGTTGGGCAATATTATGTTAGCACTGCTTGCAATTCTTGAACTATTTTTTTCCAAAGTTACTTGTAAACTGTGTTTAGATAAAAGAAATTTTGAAAAACAGTATGTTTTTGCGCGGAAGATCTGAGAACAAATGTGGGCGCACATAGGAGAATGTTACAAAGATGTTTTGGAATTACAGAAATGGCACTGGAATAGCCAAAACTCAGAATCAGCTGAAATAGGCAAGGGATGCTAAGAATTTGTTTTTGTAAGGCTTTTTCCTCTTTAAAATAAAATTAAAAAAAAAAACCCTTATAACTGCTTCTTTGGAATCTAGGCCATGCCTCCAATGCTTTCATGTCCAGTGAACAATTAAAAAAAAACAAAACCCTGCTGAAGAAGCTGCATTCCTCCCAAAAGGAATGGCCGTACCATTCACCCATCTAAGCAACCAATGGAGAGCTCTCCCTAAATCAGTTCATCCAAGACTATAAAAGACTTCCCACCCTTTTGATAGTGCAAGAGATCATGTGCTCCTGGAATGTTTGGAGTACTTGAAACAATGACAGGGAACTTTTTATTAATGCAAAACGAAGTCCAAGATTCTTGAGCTACAGGACTTCCATTGTTTTTGTTAATGGCTCAAGAATGCTCATGACATTTGAAAATAAATGGGGCACTTTGGCTGTCCTCCTCCCGCTAGACATTAAAGCCCTGGAATATGTTATCCACACAAGCCTTCAAATCGCTCTCTTGGGGCTAGGTCCAATGCCTACTCCCTTGCATTTTTTTATAAACCAGCTTTATAGGCAATCATTGTTTCGAATTGTACTGCTGCAGATATTTTTCCTACCATGAGCTAGTGTGGGAGTCTCCAGCTTTTTGCAACTGTTTGTTATTAATTACATGACTGCATAGTGTTATTTGCAAATAGTAGTGGCTCCTGTGGAGTTCAGTAACTCCTTCCGAAGTTCTCTTGCACTCAGTTTTTTTTTCCTAGCTTCAAATGATTTGAATGGTCTGCGTTTGGGTGGGTTTTTTGCAGGTGGGGTGGGATAGTAGGAGGAAGAAAGTATTTGAGAAAAATAAAAATATTTCTTTGTTTATGCTGAGTTATAATATCATGAGATTATACATTCCAAACAGTTAGTAGCAATGACTCAGGAGTAATCATTCAACATGAACAAGAGTATAAAGGAAATGTTGGCTATGGCAATTATTGTATTGTCTTTGTTAGGCAGTTTGTAACTTATATGATCAAGATTTTGGCCTAGGTAAAGCTTACATCTTTCTTTTCCAAAGCACTTCCTCTTCAAGAAAATGTGACATATCACTGAATCTCTCCTTTAAAAAAGATTTTTCATAAGATCCTGCTAAGATTATTCCAAAACCTACTCAACTAAGTATCTCTATTTCTACATGGAAAGTCCATATATGTTCACTTTTGGAAGCTCCTATTCCTCTTTCTCAGTTTTAATGTACCCATCTCTCAATATTCATTCCAATAGCCACAAATTAGAAGCCAGATTTCACAAGCCAATAATTCTTCTTCTTCTCAGATTATACAGACTATTTTATTCTGAAAGGAAGTCATTATAGACTTTCTTGGTCAAGGAGCCATTTTTCTTTCAACAAACTGGGCTTGAGAGAAAAATTTCATTACTTTCATGGCATGAAAGTACACAAAATCGGGTAAGTGGACTGAATTCCAGTAACTGCTACATTTTAAATCCAATCCTACTTAGAGTAAAATTTAAATTTAAATTTGTGTATCTTTTTCCTCTATTTACATGACGTAACCCCCTTGAAGACACTTTCGTTTGAGCAGGAAAGACATTTATGTGAGGTGTTGTTGTGTTTTTTTTGACATCTAGCCCTCTCAATTTATAAGAAGATGGAACTGCACAATCCACAACAGCAGCAATTATTAATACTGACAATCAAAGTTGTAATTCTTTATAGGACAGAAGTGACACTTACCACTCCGCCCCCTGCAGAATGAACCAGCACTGACATGCCTGCTCGCAAGTTGGCAACTTCGAAGAGCATCATGTATGCAGTTACAAAGTTCATAGGAAAAGCAGCCGCTTCGGAGAAGCTTATGTCGTCGGGAATTTTGTACACAAAGTCAACGGGTGTGCACACAACCTCAGCCCAGGCGTTGTAGTTGGTAAAGGCCATGACTCTGTCTCCAATCTGAAACCATTTGAAAGAAACACAATCGGATTACAGTCTTCTGGATAATCCTCAGAGTTACCCACAAAATGCTGGTTTCAGACATTGGCAGTTATTCCTTGGTGACTGTAACATCCAGTGATTAGGGCTACAACCACATACGGGGAGGGCAGGTGAGAGTCACTGTGGGCATAATTAGGGCTACAACCACATATGGGGAGGGCATAAAAGTATTTAACAGTGATTGTAAATCCACCCCTTCCTGGCATTCTTAATATCTGTGGAATTAAATTCATGTATAAGCTGCATCACTATGCTGAATTGTGCTTTAGAGAACACTGTTTGATTCAGATGGCAACATGTGTATCTTTGCAGTCTTCTGCCTACAGTACATTCAACTTTATCAGCTTCTTTTGATAGTTTTTAAAGAAGGAATCCATTCCTTACCTTGCTCGTATTTCATTATTCATACAATAAAACATGGGGAGAGGGAAAGGAAGACTGTTTTCACATATAAAATAGCAAAAATCAATTTTTAAAAGTGGATACTATCGTTCTATATAGCATGTTCAAGTACTCAATGCAGTTTTATTCAATACAAATTACAGCTTTCCAGAAAAAAATGAAATTAAACTGCAAAGCTGACTTTCTTATAGATAACCGTTCAAGACTTTTCCTACAGTCATCTGATTCTTCACATGAACACATCTGAAATAAAATTATTTTGGTTACTTAATTAGCTTGGCCCATGGTACTTTTTCCTTCCAAAAAGTATATTATTACAACAAATGAAATAATTGCTAGTGAGCAAGCAGAAATACAGTGTTATGGCACAGCCATAATGTGAGATACAATCCAATGCTTCAAAGGTTGCCTAGCTGTAGAGTACAGTTCTACCCATGCTTATTTAGAAGTAAGCTTACATATTTATATTAATTTATTATATTAATCTAATTAATTTATATTAATAGTTATATTTACAACTGGCTTGGGGCCCGGATGTGACTATCCCATTTTGGAGATAGCTAGTAGACAAGTACAAGATTTTACTTCCACCCCATCTATGCATTGGTTCTTTTATCCATTTTAATATTAATTTTAATGTTTTGCTTTCCTGGTGATGTTTAAATCTTACGTATAATTGTTTTATTCTGTTATTTATGACATTATAAACTGCCCAGAATTTCTTGGTAGAGAAGATGGGCAACATACAAATTTAATAAATAAAAACAAATATTTAAGAGAGCTTATTTCTTTATTGGGTTACTCAATCTTACTGAATCATGTTGCAATTTGGGATTTGCTTAGGAAGTTGAGACTCTTGGTTTCAATAAACCTTGAGTCTATCAGGTGGGAAATGGCTGATGTGAAACAGAAAATATTAATAGTGACCATTGACACCGTCCATTAACTTGAACTTGATAAAGTTCAAGAACTTTGTTCAAGTTCAAGAAAATTGCACCTGATAAAGTTCAGACCTTAATCAACTTTAGCTTCCAGCATCCCTCATTACTATGTTCATTTAAAGAGATGGAGTTGTAATCCAACAACATCTGGATAAGATGGGGATCTTCATTGCTATTATACATGAAGCACCATAGCATGATTCAAATGGACAAATAAAACAGCTGAGTCTGTAGGATGAATTAAGACAACCAACTATCATAATATGATTTAAAAAAAAAAAAAGGCAGGACCAGTGTTCCAGTATCTCAGGGGCTGCCACAAAGAAGAGGGAGTCAAGCTATTTTCCAAAGCGCCTGGAGGCAGGACAAGAAGCAACGGATGGAAACTGATCAAGGAGAGAAGCAACCTAGAACTAAGGAGAAACTTCCTGACAGTTAGAACAAATAACCAGTGGAACAACCTGCCTCCAGAAGCGGTGAATGCGCCAACACTGGAAGCTTTTAAGAAGAGACTGGACAGCCATTTGTCCGAAATGGTATAGGCTTTCCTGCCTGAGCAGGGGGTTGGACTAGAAGACCTCCAAGGTCCCTTCCAACTTTATCATCATTATTATTACAAAGTAGGCTGACTTGGATATGTTTTTTTAATAATATTGAATATTCTTTTCATAAACTAGCAATACTGGGAACTGAAAGAGACGCCACCAGGTGCAAAGCCTATCTTCTGTTTTCAAAGAAGACATCTATTAAATGTTAAAGGCTGTTAAATGCTCCATCAGTGATTATATCTCCCATCATAGATCATCTCATATTCTATTAGCTCTGCATGTCTTTTGGGGGATGACCTTTCAAAATGAGAAAATGAAATGGCTAGCACCTCTCCTTTTATCTCCCACGTATTAATTTATTTTGAAACGGTGCTTTTCGATCTTGATCAAATTCTATTGCGCCCTTTTAGAGCCCAGCTACTCTTCATTCAAAGGCTGTGTGTGGGGCTGGGTTGAGAGGTTTATAGCACGGAAACATTTATAGCATCTTGAGTAGTGCCACATTTCAACTGCCTTGGGATACAGAAAAGATTACAAACTTGTAAAATGCTACTGAAACAGGATGACATGTCCATTTTTCTACCTCTTCTTCCCCACCAGCAAAAAAAGCAGAATTTTTACATGAAACAAAATGGTTTACCTGTTTTCTTTCATTATTAACAAACCAATAAAAAATTATACCGTATTTGCATACAATGGGTGAAAGCTTAGAATTAAGTTGAATATCTCAGTTACGGCCCCCTCCTCCAAAGAAGTGGAAACAAACTCATTCAACTGGCTGATGAATTGCAGATTTGGAGTCAAATTTCTGGCAATCATAACTAGTGGGCATTCATTTGTTTCTTCAGTCGAATGGATATACTGTACTAGTTTGTTTACCCAACATGTTAAAGTCTATTTGGCTTAAGAAGCATCAACTATAGCTGATTGAGTTTAACTACAGTTGACTGAGTTTACAAAAACATGTGTTTAGGGAGATTCTCAGTAATCCAAGTCATGGTTGTCCCAAAGATGCTTTTTCAGAAGGCAACTGGACTTTCTTAGTTTTTCTTCCTTGAAAACATTTCATTTGCCATCCAAGAAACTTCTTCAGTTCTGGGCTGAACTGAAGAAGGTCCTTGGATGAGAAGCGAAATGTTTTCATGGAAAAAAACCGTTGCCTTTTGGGACAAAACACGCTAAGCCACAAACAAGCAAATTGCAGTGAGCTCTTTCTAGAACCCCAATCTTTGATGGTTAGAAGCACATGGGAAATTTTGAGAATATGGTTGATGGTTAGAAGCACATGGGAAATTTTGAGAATATGGGATGGATGCAGGCATTGAATGACAGCTGGGGCAGAAGGCTACTCCATTCACAGATTGGCTAGTTATGTTTACTGATTATGGTCCCAGATCAATAAAACACAAGTATGCTATAAAATATAAGAGTACATGGTAAGCCAATCTTGAAACAATAAATAATAAAAAAGAGGGCACCATTGAAATTCTACAATCTATAGTTACTGCTGAGAAGTTGGTAATATTTTAAAGATTTGCCGCCCTTTAATTTTTTTTAGGAGAAAGTCTGCAGCCTCTTGTTCAGTAAGACAAGTAAAATTTATATGTGCCAAATACTAAGGGTGATATAGTAGACAGTTTAACAATTCATAAGTTACTGTCTTGACTGCAGTCTGCACAGAGGTAAATGCAGTTATCGTCTGATTGTCTGAATAGCCCTGGGTTATTTCTCACTGTATTTTGGAAGAAAAACAGATTTAGGGCCCCAAAGAAATTATTGCTTTTCCTTTCCAGCTTAAATCTCAAACTCAGCTTGCCCTGAATGTTATTCGAGACTAGCTCAAAAGCCCAAAGGCCTTAACAATGAAACCTCTAGTGAGTCAAGAATGAAGAAAGTAAGGGTGGTAAGCATACATATATTAAATAGATGAAGTTTACTATGAACCGTAACTACATTTGGGGTTATTTTATATAAGCCACTTGGACAGCAGGGATGACTGGGCTGGTTCTTGTGTGAAGAGCAGCTGGGACCATTGAAGCTGATGGCTATGTAGAAGCAAGCAAGGAACCCTGCTTAATGTGAATCCCTCAAATTCCAGATGGGACATTTCCTTCTAATTCCTACCAGAGGTTGAGCATCTGCCTGCATGGGGTCTATGGATCCTGACATCACCTCCCCTAAGCAGGCATCTATCTACTTGAGGTGTCCTTGGAAGAAGAGGGAGCAAGGCTAACTTGGCCAGTCTTGGATGAACCCAGTGAATGCTATTGTCCACTGTGGTAAGTCCTTGTCAGCTGAGACCTGCACACTGCACTCCTTCCTTTAAGTATCTTGCCCCCCCTCCCCCAGAAAATGACTTGGTGGGTTATAAATTTGAGACCTACTTTTATAGCATGTTGGCTTTTCGTATTTCATACTAAGAACTTCTCCCTATTTGATTCTCCTTTTCATTCTATTCAGTTTTCCTCCAGGTGTCTATATTCTATTAGAACCAAGCATAACTATTGACATTAAGGGATGATGATGATGATGATCTGTTTGTTTCTGCAGTACTTCTCCTATTGGCTACATCAACAATAGCATTCCTAATGTGAATTTTGGTTTTTTTTTTAAAGAGAGAATTGTGTTATGACGCTAGCATTTTAAAATTGCTTCTGTTTCACTGCTGCTGCACATTTGCTCTATTTATATATAGTTATATAGCTGTTATATTTAGACATATTTCTAACCCGCCATTTTAAAAACCAGTCTCCTGGTAGCTATAGAACACAAATTGGAATAGGGATATGTAATTCTAATCCCAAAGCAAACAAACCATCTTATGGTTCAATCTGAGGTATGAAGAAGACCATTTAATCATCAAATGTTCTACCACCATTTGAAATTCACTAATACAGTATCTGGTTAATTGATTTGTTCCATTTTGGGGATTCCACTACATCCTTATCAAGAGGTACTGATTCACAATACTTTAGCATTCAACACTTGGGCAGAGTTCTGACACTGTAGTGTGCCAGGATACTTAAACCTACAATAACCTGATCCACACACAACACAAAGCAATGATAAGTAGGTACATGCATCACATTTATAATAAAACCCAAACAGGCCATGTTATGGTTTATCACAGTGGTTCTTAATTTTTTCTTAACCACAGACCCTCCATTAAATACATTTTGTGGCCATGGACCATGGCCACGGACCCCCAAGACCTAACTCAAGACTTAAATCATAACATTTCTTCCAGCCTTTATGGACCCCCTCTGATGACATTGTGCCCCCTCCCAAGGATCTGCGGACCACAGGTTGAGAACCACTGGTTTATCATAATTTATGGATATATTGTTTTGTTCTCAAGCACCATCATATTACCTCATAACCTTTCACATTGTCACCCAGAGCTTCTACAATTCCAGAGCATTCAAATCCAGGTATAAGTGGTGTTTTGGGTGGATTATCAATGTTCCCCTGACGAACCATCAGATCAATAAAATTTAAGCCACTGTAAGGAAAGAAAATGAGAAGGGAAGATATGAAGGCCTCCATTCGAAGGTAGCTGATCAACACAACCAAAGTGACATTGAATAAACTCCTATGATGCCATTTACAACCATGTTTTAGTTACCAACCCCAAATGCTCTTTCTATGAGATTTCTTTTCATTCCCCTTCCCCCAAGCTGAATTCGCTACTCATCTTTTGGGATACTCCTAAGAAAACCTCAAATTACATTCTTTCCTTCTCTTGGTCTTCTCCAAGTAACACAAAATAATTTCTGGTTAAAAATAGACATTGTCTATTTCTGGTTAAAAATACACATTGTCCTTTTGTTGATTAACCTCAACCCCCCCCCCAAAAAAACCCCAGCATGTTATCTTTGAAGTTTTAAGAACTTAACCTCAAAGAAACAGGCAACATAGCAACAACAGATTGAGTGATAAATCTCATTCAATGTACATGACTTTCTAACAGTTTTTTTTCCCCAAAGGAAAGAGTCCAAAACCTGAAGACAGGGAAGGTTTTGACTTTCTATATCTTCAAAATCACCTACAGTTAAAATCCACTTTTGTTTATGCTGCTTTGGAAAACAGTGGGATTAAAATATTAAGGACTTCACAACCAACTGAATCGGTTCAGTTTTCCACCAAGTACAGGGGAGATTGCAAACAATTTAATTTTTAAGGAAGCTACTCTATATTAAAATAGCATACAGCTAAAAACTGAAATGTAACATTCCTTTCCCAGAAATTACGGGTTACTTTCATCTGATTGTTTTCCATGCTCCCAAATCTTTCAAAAAGGTGGTGTAAGCTAATCCATGAGCTATTAATCAAATGTGGTTATCAATGAGCCCATTCCAGATAGTCCTCGACTTACTTCTATTCTATTCAAAGTTATGACAATACTGAGAAAAAGTGACTTATGCCAAGTTTTCAACAATCACTGCATGATCGCACGATCAAAATTGGGGCACTTGTTGGCAACTGGCCTGTGATCATGTGATCACTATTTGTAACAACAAGCAAAATCAATGGGGGAAGCCAGACTTGTTTAATGGCACGATAACACTTAATAACTGCCATGATTTGCTTAGCAATAGTGGCAAAAAAGGTTAAATGAGATGCAACTCATTGGACTGTCTTTCTTAGTAATGGAAGACCAAGATTGTGGTCATAAATTGAGGACTACCATACTTCCTTGTTACAACAGCTTCCCTGGGTTTCTGGATTATACCTATACACCATCTAAAACACTGGTGGCAACCTACGAAACTGTGTAGGATTTTGGCCAAAGCTATTTGAATAACCCCATTCTATCCTTCATCTTCCAGCGTCATATCTTTTTGCCTTTTGGTACTGTCCATGGGGTTTTCATGGCAAAGATACTGGAGTGGGTTGCCATTTCCTTCTCCAGTGGATCACATATGCTACTGGGGAAGAGCAGAGGGCTAGTACTAGTAGCACCAGAAAGAGTGAAGCGACTGGGCCAAAGCCGAAAGGACACTCAGCTGTGGATGCATCTGGTGGTGAAAGGAAATTCTGATGCTGTAAAGATCTTTTCTAAGCAGTAGGCGTGAGCTTAAATGGATGCCAAAAGATGGTAGCGGACAGCAAGACCTGGAGGAACATTGTCCATGGGGTCACAATGGAACAACAACAAATTCTATCCTTCAGACTTTCAATTCCCTTTAAACATGTTAGTGGAAATAAGATAATGGTTACTCCCAGCATTGGAGGTTGTTGATTTTTAATGAAGCTAAGCTGTTTGTTTCACTGAAAGACAAAAATGTTATTCTTTGGGTACTTAAGCCTAATTTGCTGAAAATGGCTTCAAACTGGTGAATGCTGTCTCGTTCTTTTTTTATTGGTGTGCTTTTTAAAGATTTCCTACATTCCAGTTAGACTCTTTTTCTCTCGCTATGCTTTTACTCTCAGTCCTATTAACATTTTTTTAGCAGAAAGAAAGGAAATACTCTTAATGGCTGACTCCAATCTATAAAATGCTGAGATGGTGAAACAGACAACTCTTGGCATATTATTGAATCAGATGTGCATTACAGTAAAAAGGAGAAGAACGAAACTCTTCTCTAACCCATTGCTCACTGCTTTTTTTTTTTTCAAACATAAGACTTGGGTAAACAGTAATATGATGCTTAGCGTTGCGGAAATATATTTTATAATGAACTGAATAGGAATAGGAAGGAATATAAGGCAGGACAAGTCCACTGTGCAGCAAAGCAATGGAATGGAGCCAGAATATATACTAGAGAAAGACAGCCAGCTACCATTTGTAAAGCAGAATGAAATTTAACACAATCCAAGATCAGATTGCGTTCACCTCTCTACCCCAGGGTAGGCAAACTATACATTCCAAGTGTTTTGGATCTCACTGCCCATAATCCATGATCATTGATTGATTATATGCCACTAGGTTAGCACCATAGGCTGATTTTCTCCAAGATGACCTGTCCCCAGCTTGGTCCTTCAACCTTTTCAATGACACACTTATTGTTGGTCCATTGTTCTTGCTGTTGGCTGCCTCCTCCTCCTCCTCCTCCTCCTCCTCCTCCTCCTCCTCTTCTTCTTCTTCTTCTTCTTCTTCTTCTTCTTCTTCTTCTTCTTCTTCTTCTTCTTCTTCTTCTTCTTCTTCTTCTTCTTCTTCTTCTTCTTCTTCTTCTTCTTCTTCTTCGGAACTGGCTCTTTGCAAAATGTGTTAAATATATGATTTGAGCTAATTATTCACACTTCGAGTGAGGATTCTAGAATTCTAGGGAATCAGTACAACTAGGCAGATTTAAAATAAGCAACCAGACCCAATGTATGCCTGGTCCTTAGCAATACAAATCATTGTTCCCACCACCCCAAGCCATAATGCTTTCTTTCAAGGTTAAAGTCTTCTAAAATAAGCACTGCAGCATTTCACCTTGATTTTTTTTTTCTTCTTCCTATAAAATGCCAGGACTTTGTGTAACAGGAGCCACACTTGGAGGGCAGAAATGTGATGTTCTGACCTGGTGGCACACAGGAGATATTTCTATTCCCGAACTCCATTGGAAAATGCTTCACATACCTTCCTCATACCAAATCTGCACTGCACCTTTATACTGCCAGAGCATCAATATTCATTCATCCATGAGTGCTTCTCGACTGGAATTTCATTTTAGCATGGATGCCAATGCAAGGTTATATTGTACAGAGTTATATTTGCTATCAGGATAGACCAATGATGTCAGGAGCTGCGGCTCCAAATTCTGTGGACATCTGATGCATGTGGACATTTAATGCACGGATGGTCTAGATGGGAAATTTCATTTTTCAATTGTGTGAAATGTTTTAAATAATAGATCAGTCTTTCTCACCCATATCCACCACTGTCTTTACCCTTGGATTGAAAAGGATATTTGGACTGAGTATCAGAGATGTTCAAGTCACTGATGAATTTCCTACTTAAGCTCCAGGGATGTCTTTTAGCTTCTGAAACTCAGCCTTGAGAGGAGGACATTTTGAATCACTTCTCTGCATACAGTATTACTTTGAAAAATCTGTAACTTCATAAAGAGCTGAATGTTCTCCACCTCATGGTCATTCTACTAACAGATCCTTTAAATTGGAGCCTCTCAATAAGCTTGTGACTTCCCAACATGTTTTTAACCAGGGCCCAAATTGGGTAGGGCTTCTAGGACTCAGCTCAGCCTTACCTGGCCACAGTTCCCCCAAAGCTTGGCAGAGTGAATTAACTTTTCGACTGTTCTTTGAAACATGCACCTAACTAAAAGTGTAGCATACATACTATATGCATGCTACAGATCAAATAGTACTATAATCTATGATTATATGATTACCGAATAATTCCTACATCTCTGCTTTTGATCTATAGGATAGTGCCACGGGAAGAACATATAGCAGGGGTCTTCAAACTTGGCCCTTTTATGACTTGTGGAATTCTGGACGTTGAAGTCCACAAGTCATAAAAGGGCCAAGTTTGAAGACCACTGACCTATAGCCTCATTTCACCATTTTTGTATAAATATCAGGGGCGCACAGGAGAATTGGATATTTCTCTGCTGGTTGTAGAGAATAATGTTTCCATAACACAATATTGTCAACAGCGCTTAAAATCCCTCAAATATTTTTTGTTCTGTATTGTGATACATTTATATATACAGTATATATATATATATATGATATATTAACCTTTTATGTATTTATCTAATGTTTTTACTCCTCTGTATATTTTAGATTTTTGTGTGTACGCATTATATATATATGTGTGTTTGTGTGTGTGTGTATAAGTGTGTGTGTATACGTGTGTGTGTATACACACACACACACACACAGAAAGAGAAACAAACATATATAGGCTTTTTAAAAATATATTTTTGTTTTTTTTAATTTTATGTAAGTTTAATTTTTTTTATTTTGTAAAAATCATTGTTTGTACCCCACCTTCCGTATGCTAGTCTAGGACTATAGTAAAGATTTGACTGCCAGAGCAAATTCCCATCATTAGGAGAAGGCAGTTTGATTATGGAACAGGAAGATGGAAGAGATGGCTTGGTGGTTAATTCTAAATCGCTTTTTTATGTGCCACTTCCTAGTTCTCTTTCCTTCCAATTATCCTCATTGTTTGGAATGGCCTTGTGGAGCAGAAGTAAATAAATCCTGCTGATTTAACAACAAACATAACATCAAAACCTCCAAGATGTTAAAAGCAGTTAAGACCAACAATTTAAAGCGGGAGAAAGATTGTGTGCACAAGCGTATGGTGTCCTACTCTAATCTCTTTTAATTTTATTTATTTTTACTGGAAAAGAAACAAAAATGTTCCAACAGGATTAGTCCCATGACTTCTTGCTAACAATACGTTTAAGTTCATACAGTCACATACTTTCAGAAGAAACTAAGCAACACAATCCACCCTTGACCTACTTTTTGTCAGCTCAGAAGCTAAGCAGCGTTGGGCCTGGTTAGTCCCTGGATGGGAGACTTCTACAGAAAAACAGCTAAAGGAGGAAACTGTCAGAACATCCTAGAAGGAGGCAATACCAAATGATGGTTGCCTCCTGCCAAAACTGCATATCCAGATAGTTTGGGTTGAGCCAAGTTAGACACAAAAATATTGTATTTTCAGTAGATGACAACAACTTAACTTTGGGCTGGGAATCTAAGCAGCACTGAACTTAACTATTAACTAGAGAGGAACAATTAGTTAGTTAGCTATCCTAGGGAATTTCAGGGTCACAGAGTAGATTAAAATAATCAGGAAGAAGATACTGGGAAACCATTCCCATATTGCCCCCATAAAAACTGCATGTTTCTGCCCAGGTAGTCATCAGGAGTCAAGCACGACTCAAGGACCTTACCTTCAGCCTCACAATGAGTTACGGTTTGCTTAAATAGGTGCATTTCCTTCAAGTAAGCAAAGGCGGTCAAGAAGAGGCATGCAAGCCAGCATTGGCTTTACAAGCCTGCTTCCTCATTCTTTCTGATTTTCTACTGCTCACTTTTAGAAATCCCAAGCCAACATGTTACCCAGTTTGCTCTCCATATCTCAAGTTTTATGGCCCTTGAATAATTCCAGTCTGTAGTAGCTCTACGTCTAACCGTCATCAGCATCTTTCCAATAGAGAATTTCCAGGGGAAAAATAGTTAGCTAGGAGGGAAAAACAGGGATTAAGTGTAGAGCAGGGGACCCGCTGGGGAAAAGAGGATTTATTAATGAGCTTGACCAAAGGAAAGAAATTGAGGCTATCAGAATCAAAGGCAATCAGTCCCGATCTAGCAGAGTCAACATCCACATATAGCAAAGAGGGGGGACGGAGACGGGGTCACAGATGTAAGAGAAATGTGAAGGGTGCCAGAACAAGACCAAAACAGCCCCAAATATTGTTCCCCTTGGAAAAGGCTTCCTGATACACAGATAGGTTAAAAAAAAACAACAACCTTGAAAGGGTTTTTAATACACTGGGTCCTTTGGAAAAAAACATGGCCAAAATGATTCACTTTTTTTCTTAAGATTCACCGTCACCCCATTATCGAGAGAGAGAGAGAGAGAGAGAGAGAGAGAGAGAGAGAGAGAGAGAGAGAGAGATGAAAAGAGGAAGAGAAATGAAAAGAGGGAGAAAGGGGGAAAAAAGATAAGTCATTTTTGCCTGCAATCTCATGCACATTTTCCTACCAACCATGACTTAACGGGCAGAGCTGCATTTGCTGCTGAGTCAAAGGCTGTTCTTCTAACCAAATGCTCCGTAACTTGGGAACAGGCCCCAGTTTGTTTGTTTGTTTGTTTGGAGAGAGGTGGGTTGTTGTTTTTTTAAATTTTATTTATTTATTTATTTTAAAAAAGGCTTTTTTCTCCGTGATGGTTAAGGCAGGCATCCATTGCAAAGGACAAAGGTGGTAGTGGTGGTGGGGGGACCTCCCTACCGAATTCACCGTCCCCCTCCCCTACCCCGGAGATTGAGCTGGAACTTTGCAAAAGTCGCTGGAGAATGAAACGGGGATGGGGGGGAGGGTTCTTTTTTTGGGGTGGGGGGGATGGGACCAACCCGTTCTTGTCTTACTCATTCACTACACTGGAGCTGAAGAGTCTCCAATCTCTCCCCCCAGCCCCCCGTTTGCCTATCAAATCCAAAGAGAGAGACGCAAAGGATGGAAGATGCTTCCAGACGACCGCTGGCTAACCCGAATAATACTACTACTAATACTAATACTACTAATACTAATACTACTAATACTAATACTACTACTACTAATAATACTAGTAATAATAATACTAATAATGCTAATACTAATACTAATACTACTAATAATAATATTAATACTAATAATATTAATACTAATAATATTAATACTAGTAATACTAATACTAGTAATACTAATACTAATAATACTAATACTAATAATACTAAAATAATAATAATAATACTAAAATAATAATAATAATAATGATGATGATGATGATGATGATGATGATAATAATAATACTAATAATAAAATAATAATTATTAATAATTAATAATAAGCCAGAATACTGGACCAGGCTTTCACGCGGATCTTCAGCTCTCCTTCCTGAGGCTCCGGCATCACTTTTTTAGACACCCGGAGCTTGTTCAGGCCCCCGAAGGCGGAGAGCACCACGGCTCGCATCTCCTTAGCATCCCCGGCTTTTGGGGGGCTGCCGCCGCCGCTGTTGCCTTCGCCGCTGATGCCGCCGAGGCCGCCGTTGCCGCCGCCGCCGCCGCCGCCTTCGGGCGCCTCCTTCTCGATCATCTGCTCCGTCTCCTCGGCTTTCCCGGCTCCTTCCTTGGCCATGGCGCTGCTCCGGCGGCAGAAGGAAGGAAGGCGGAGGGGCTGGAGAGCCGCGTTTAAGAGGACGGGGGCGCGCGCGCGCCGG